AGCCTGAGTGGCTAGCTCCTGTTCTGGGGCTAACTTTAATGCACCCGATAGGAGCCTTGCCACCACTACAGTGGCATTATTTATTTCCTTTCACTTTCCTACAACTACTTTGGATGCTGCTTCCAACATTTTCAGCACCCTTCTTTTCATTTTCAGAGTATCTCCATACCCACCCAGTGGTCCAGACCCCTCTAATAGGAAGCCACCTAAATCCAGGTGGCCAGCCCAGGATATGCCCCGCAGACTGTCTGCCCTTTCCCAATTCCAGAGTCAACTCAACATGTTCCCCTTTGGGGTCCTGCCAACTATGCCAATTGTTCCACCCCAGGGCTGGAAATTCCCTAGTACTGTTTACCAATTCCGAAGGAAGAACTTGGAGAACTCAAGAGAGAAGTTTTGGACATTGTATTTCTTACTCCTCAGTGGCAGTGGGCTGGGATACAGTGGAGGGCCACACTGTGCCTACAAGCAGGGGGAATAGATAGGCTAGGTTGCGAGCTTTCCTAGGTACAGATTGGTATTTAACCCAACACTTACTGATTTGTCTTCTACTTGTTCAAGCAGCTATGTGTAATTTTGGGGTAAAAAATGGCAAGAAGATTTAAAAATTTATATGGATATGCAAAAGATCTAGAATACCCAACAGAGCCTTGAGAATGAAGAAAAAGTATGGAAGATAGACAATATCTAATGTTAAGATTTACTTAAAAAGAAAAAGATTTACTGTAAAGCAACAATAATCCAGGCCATATGGTATTGGTATAAGGATAGACAGATATGTAAAGAGATCGGAAGAAAGTCTAAAATTAGACCCAAACATATACAACTGATTTTTGACAAAGCTGCCAATGCATTTCAAAGGGAGAAATGAAAGTCTTTTCAGTAAATTGTGCCGGAACAAATGGATATCAGTATTAATGGAAAAAATAATACTTTGATCCATGGCTCATACCATATACAACAATTCAAGTTCTAGTATTACTGAATTGTTTTTTATTGGACCAACCCATCTAACTGATAATAACTGTTAACTATAGAAAATATTTTAAAACAAACTACTGAAGACACTGGGAAGTTATCAAAAGAATATTTTTCTCACCTATTGTATATGGATGTAGTAGTTTGGGATTGTGTCCCAAATATTATCAATGTTATTTTATAATAAAGTAAAGCTTTATTCTTTTATATTATTCTGAGGAGATTTTTTCCCCCACAGAAGAAGAAATATTTGTTTGTTTGTTTATTTATTTTTGTGCCAGGGATTGAACTCAGGGGCGCTTACCAACCAAGCCACATTCCCAGCCCCCTCATTTATATTTTATCAGAGACAGGGTCTTACTGAGTTGCTTAGGCTCTTGCTAAGTTGCTGAGGCTGTGTTTGAACCCATGATCCTCCTGCCTGAGCCTCCCGAGTTGCTGGGATTACAGGCATGCGCCACTGTGCCTAGCTTATTTATTTACTTTTATATGGTGCTGAGGATTGAGCCCAGTGCCTCACATGTGCTAGGCAAGCATTCTGCCACTGAACTACAACCTGAACCCAGTGTTAATGTTCTTATCATAACAGACAATTAACTAGGCTACACTCAACCTGGAAATGTTGTCTCATGGAATGTGGGTAGCAACTCAGCTTTTAGTTCAGCAGCTTTTAGTTTGCCCCACCATGCAGATTGGAGTGGTCAGCCAGAGACACATGCAAAGTGTACACAGAGAATTTGGCATTCATTTTCTTTTTGTTCTTTCTTTTGAGGTTGCCCTCTTAATCTGTAGTGGCCCTGGGCACCCCAGCCTTCCTCCCCTGTTTCCTCTGGCAACAGGATGACAAGATTTTATGGGAATTTGAACTGGTTCACATTGCTGCTAAAAGTGCAGCTACTTTGAACATAAACCAGAAGAAGAGGGAACTCTGTGCTGATAACTTCATGTATCTTTGGACCCCCCCCCAAAGTCTTCTTGCTTTTGATATTTGTTTGTTGGTTGGTTTTGTTTTTATAGAAAATATGTTTAATGAACACAGAGGTATCTTTCTTAAGGAACTTACTTCTCCATACTAGAATCTTATGACTGATTCTTGTACATTGTATTCTGAGACTTTACTAAATTTGCTTATTAATTCTAGTAGGTCTTTTGGCAAATAACCAAAATTTTCTATGTACATTATCTTGTCTTCCTATCATTATCTTATTAATATATAAGCCCTTTATTTTTATTTTATTTCCAGTCTAAAGGCAATAACTTTTAGTCTTTCACCATTAAGTATATCTGTGGTTTTTCTTAGATGGCCTTTATTAATTTGTGACAATTTCTATCTACTTCTAGTTCAAAGAAAATCTTTAACATGAATGGATGTTGAATTTCCAAATGCTACTTCTACATATGTTGAGGTGAACTTTTATTTCCACTAATGTGGTAAATCTCATTGATTTTTTTCAGGTGTTAAACTAACTGTGTATTCCTGGAATAAAAATTACTTGATTTTGGCATATTATCATCTTTATGTATGCCTTTATTGAATTAGCAGTATTTGGTAAAGATCTTAATCTCCATGTTTATGAGACATTGGTGTTTAGATTTGGGGGAAATTTCCCTTATAATATCTTTGATTTTGATATTGTTAATGGTAGTCTCATAAGATAAGTTGGTACATTTCATGCTTGCTCTGTTTTCTGAAAGATTTTGTTTGAAATTGCTATACTTGGTAGATTTTTTCATTGTTTACTCCTCTTGTTGTGATTTCATGTGAGAATGCCTTAAATCTTATATTTTTCCTTAAATATGTGATAGAATTCACCAATGGACTCATCTGGATTATTTGAAAATTTCTTTGTGGGGCTATCATTAATTTTAAATTCAGTTTCTTTTTTATAGGGATACTCAGATTTTCTACTTCTTTTTTGTTTTAACAAGTTACTCTTCCAAAGAATTTATGCATTTCAACTAAGTTGTAAATTTAGGGCATTAACTTTTTTCAGAATACACTTTTATTCTAATTTTAATATCAGTTATATCTTTAGTGATGCTTCCTCTTTCTCTACAGTTGATAAATTTTTACAGGCATATATTAGAAACCTAATTTTTATGCACTTAATAATATAATCTCTAAATATATAGAGCAAACATTGATAGTACTATCAACTAGAAAATTGCACAATCACTTTTAGAGATTTTAGCGTTTCTATTTCTATAACTGTTGGAACAAGTAGACAAAAGAATCTGGCCAGGCACTGTGATGCACATCTGTAATCCCAGTGAGTTGGGAAGCTAAGGCAGGAGGATCACAAATTAAAGGCCAGCCTCAGCAACTTAGTGAAGACCTCAGCAACTTAGAAAGACCCTGTCTTAAAATAAAAAATAATCTGCAAAGAGGTTGAAGATTTGAACATGAAAATCCCTATCATATTATGTTGGTTACTATATCCAACAACTATAGAATACACATTTATTTTCAAAGGTACATGGCATACTCACCAAAATAGACTATTTGGAGACATAAAGCTAGTTATAACAAATTTCAAAGGATTAAAATTACATACTACTGTGTTCTTCAAGTACTGTTGAATTAAAAATATGAACAGAAAGACAAGTAGAAAGTCTATGAATGTTTAGAAAGTAAGAAACAGCTATCTCAATAGTGTGTAAGTCAAAGAAGAAATTACAAATGAATAAGAAAATGTTTTGAGCAGAATGAAAATATGACACATCAAAACTCATGAGAGCTAAGTGAAATAATCCAATCCCCAAAAAACCAAACACCAAATGTTCTCTTTGATATGTGGATGCTGACTCACAATAGATTGAGGGGGTGCCGATAAGAACATAAAAATAAATAATTTATTTCACACTTATAGGAAATCTCATTGCTCATATTTATTCAGGAATCCAGGCTCCTTGTAGTACATTAATTTACCTTTTCCTATCTTTTCTTCTTCTTGTTTATGTTTTTGAAATCTGTGTGTTTGAATCTGTGTTGCTGAGGTATCCAGGTTTTAGCAAGCAAGAAGGTAGAAGCAGATGTGGAGAAAATTTGCCTACCATCTCAATGCTCTAGTTTGCAATTGGCACCCATCATTTCTCCCACATTCCATTCATGAGAGCACTGTCACATAGCCATACCAATTTTCAAGGGAAGCTGAGAAATGTTAAGTGACTGGGCAGCCATTTTCTTGACTACTATTCTGTTATTGCCAAAGATGAGGAAACACTCTACTGGGCAACTTTCAGTCTTTATCACAGAGAGCCTAACCTCTCTACACACACACACACACACACACACACACACAAAATATATATATATATATATATATATATATATATATATATAGAGCATAAGTCCAAGAAAACAGTTTCACCTGCATAGAAAATGGGAGTGTAGATAATCATTTTGTTTGTATTGATTATAATGGTAATGAACACAATATTTTTCCTGTGGACATCAGTAAGTTCTTTTCTATCATATTAATTTGTGTTTTTTGCTGATAATAGCAAGATATAGTATTGAGACTAGTGAGGATTTATAATTGCAAGCTAATGAAGACTAAGACTCTGATTCACCTTCTCTCTGCATAGTCTCTCCACAGATATTTTCCCTTAAAGTCCTTGTCTTATAAATCTTCTGTCCATCCTATTTGATAGCCAAGCTTCCTACCAAAATAGGGTTAGACTGCTTAGATTGAACTTGAATCTCCAATATTTAAGAGCAGTGTTTTACTGCAAATTATATGACCATTATGTGCTTCATTTCTATTATCTATAAAAGGTGAATGATAATGGTCAATACCTTATAGAGTGTTTTAAAGGATTAAATGTATTCGTATGTATGTATTAGAATAGGACCTGGAATATTGTGTCACATAAGAAGTTGGTATATAATAATTGCTATATATGTATTTCATGGTATCATCATCATATTCCCATGGGTTTAATTTGGATAAGATTGTGTGTATCCTTTAATCTTCTGCTATCTATTCTTCATGTCACTTTTCATTTTTCTTTGTCTTTAGGTGGGAAGTTTGGAATTAAGAACTCAAAAAAAAGTACTTCTGCAAAAACTACATTTCATAGTGAAATAGAGGATAAAGATACAAGAGATGATTCACTGTATTCCGTTTTAGAAGAACTGTGGCAAGATGCTGAACAGATAAAAATATGCCAGGAAAAACAGAACAGCCCTTTGAATCACACTGATTTTATCAATAAGAAAATATTGAACACAGAATGGGATTATGAATATACAGACATTGGAAGTTGTGTACATCCAAGCCCAAATCTCATTCCTTCACAGAAAAGACCCCATAAACATGACTCATTTGAAAAACGTTTTAGGCATAATATGGACTTACATATTCATAATAAAAACAATACAACAAAGAACTTTGATAAAATTGTTAGTCATGGTCAAGTTTTCACCCAGAACACTTCCTTTACTAACCATGACAATTCACATATGGGAGTGAAGTTCTGCGAAAGTGATCAGTGTGAAAAAGTCCTCAAACATGCACTCAGTCAAAATCTGAAATTTCCTGTTGGGGAGAAAGCAAGCACATGTGCTGAATTTGGAAAGATCTTCACCCAAAAGTCGTATCTCTTTGCACCTCCAAAAATTCATACTGTGGAAAAACCTCATGAACTTAACAAATGTGTAAATGCATTTACACAGAAGCCACTACTCAGTATATATCTGAGAGTTCATAGAAATGAAAAACTATACATATGTTCTCAATGTGGAAAGGCTTTCCTCCAGAATTCAGAATTAATGATGCATGAGAAAAGTCATACTAGAGAGAAACCCTATAAATGCACTGAATGTGGAAAGTCATTTTTCCAGCTGTCATCTCTACTCAGGCATCAGACAACTCATACTGGAGAAAAACTCTACGAATGCAGTGAATGTGGGAAAGGCTTTTCCCTGAACTCAGCACTCAATATACATCAGAAAATCCATACTGGAGAGAGACATCACAAATGTAGTGAGTGTGGAAAAGCCTTCACCCAGAAGTCAACACTCAGGATGCATCAGAGAATTCACACAGGAGAGAGATCCTATATATGCACTGAATGTGGACAGGCTTTCATCCAGAAGGCCCACTTGATTGCACATCAAAGAATTCATACCGGAGAGAAGCCTTATGAATGCAGTGATTGTGGGAAATCTTTTCCTTCTAAGTCCCAACTCCAGATGCATAAGCGAATTCACACAGGAGAAAAACCCTATATATGCAATGAATGTGGGAAGGCCTTCACCAACAGGTCAAATCTCAATACTCACCAGAAGTCTCATACTGGAGAGAAGTCTTATATATGTGCTGAATGCGGGAAGGCCTTCACTGACAGGTCAAATTTCAATAAACACCAGACCATTCATACAGGAGAAAAACCCTATGTTTGTGCTGATTGTGGACGAGCCTTCATCCAGAAGTCAGAGTTAATTACACATCAGAGAATTCATACTACAGAGAAGCCTTATAAATGTCCTCACTGTGAGAAATCCTTCTCCAAGAAACCACATCTCAAAGTACATCAGCGAATTCACACGGGAGAGAAACCGTACATATGTGCAGAGTGTGGGAAGGCCTTCACTGACAGGTCAAATTTCAATAAACATCAGACAATTCATACTGGAGATAAACCCTATAAATGCAATGACTGTGGAAAGGGCTTCACCCAGAAATCCGTTCTTAGTATGCATCGCAATATTCATACATGAAATAACCCTGTTTCTTAAAAATGAGAGAGCCTTACCGTAGAAGTCAGGTCTACTCATGTATTATAAAATTCATCTAAGACAGACCTTGTATGAGTACACTGTATTAAAAAAAGCATTCATCAGGCTATCTCACCTGAGATGAAAAAAAAATTAGAAGAGACCCTATAAGAATACATTGAAGAAAGGGGAATTTGGGGGCTGGGGTTGTGACTCAGTGACACAGCGCTTGCCTAGCATGTGTGAGGCGCAGGGTTTGATCCTCAGCACCACATACAAATAAACAAAATAAAGGTCCATTGACAACTAAAAGATATTTAAAAAGGGTGGGGGGTGAATTTAACATTTACACAGCCTCACAAAATACAATAGAATTAACATTGAGAATGCTATCAGTTTGGTACATTAGGAAAATCCTTCCTATAGAAAGTATCATGAGGCAAATTATTACCAAATGCTTTATAGGTTGGAGGATGCAAATTTATAGAAATGACAGTCATGTTTTCTATGTTATAGTAAGCAGTTTAACAAGAAAATAATGTGTTCGTTGTGCAGACCTCTTCAGTTCTTTTCGCTGTTTGTGGTAAAATATTGCATAACATATTGCATAATTGAATTGAAATTCTTTTTTAAAATTTAGAATGTTTATCAAATGTTTGTTATTGAACATATCTATCAGATGAATTCATAAGTTTAAAGTTATTTTGGCTTTTTATATACGCACATCTGCAGATATAATTTTATATGAACATATACTGTTTTCATACTGTTTTCCATGACATAGTATTCTTCTTTCATTGTATACAATGCAAAATAGCCACAGATTCCTCCCATCCATTTATGCATGGCCCCTTTTGCAATGGTACCTTGTTGTTTCTCTTATTAAGTATGTTATAGCTTGGATATGAAGTATCCCCTAAAAGCCCCTGTGTTAACTGCAAGAATGTTCAGAGGTGAAATGATTAGATTATCAGAGCTATAACCTGACCAGCCCATCCTAGTTTGAATGGACTAACTGGGTGATAGCTGTATGTAGGTAGGGCATGGCTCAAAGAGGTGGGTCACTGGGGGTATGACCTGGAAAGTTCGTCTTCCCTGCAGCCCCTTCCCCCCTTTCTCTCTGCTTCCTGGTCACTATGAGCTAAAAGCTTTCCTCCAGGGCACTCTTTAGTCATTATGCTACACCTCACCACAGGCCCAGAGTGATGGAAGTGGCTGACCACGGACAGAACCTTGGAAACCATGAGCCGGAAGTAAACTTTTCCTCCTTTAGATTGGTTTTGTCAGGTATTTTGTTTATAGCAACAAAAAGCTAACACAGAGTACTTCTTATCTGCCGTTGCTCCTTGACTTTCAACTTGGCCATGTGATTTGCTTTGGCCAATGGACATTAGCAAAGAGATTCAAGAAGAGGCTGGAGAAGTGTGAAAGCCTGCCTTGAGGCTTACCCTTCTGTGCTGCTCTTTGGAATCCTGAGATCTCAATGTTAAGAAGCACAGATGCCCTACTGTGGGATGAGAAGCCACATAGAACAGAGGTGAGCCAGCTTAGCCGATGCCCCATAGATCAATTTACCTATGGGCTTGGGAATGAGTCCATCCTAAGTCTATGTCCCCAGCCAAACCAGCCCAGCCCAAAATTGCCATGTCAGTTATACCAGCCAACCTGCAGAATTCTGAGTTAAATAAGTGATCATTGTTTTAGGCAGCTATATTTTGGGGTAGTTTGTTGCATATCAAATTCTAAATAATACTTAAAAGTATATGTGTGTGAATTGTATTATACCCAAATATAATATGGCATTGGCTTTGGGCCTGAGAAGCTAATAGAGACTGGAGAATAATGAGGAAATCTGTTTGCAAAATCTGGGAAAATGACAACCTATTAGAAAGGAAAAAATAGCAAATCATCACCATGCTCTGTGGGACTATAGAGAAGGTACCAAATGAACTTGTGGATCTGACTAAGAGATTTGCCATGGAATATGGCTGTCAGTTTGCTGCTTTTAACCACATATGATAAGGTACAGAATGAGAGAAATGAATTAAAGAAATACTTGTTCCCCTGGCAAGCAGCAGTTTTGGGAAATAACTTTAGCTCTTTAGCCATGAAAATATTCTCAAGATACAAAATGGCTGTAGGGTAAATATCAAGTCATGGGTATGTCTGTAAAACCCTTTATTACAATGTTTGAAATATTATATTTTATTGGTGCTTGGAAAACCCTCTCAGTGAAATAATGGGTGTCTAAAAATCTTGGTGACATGATTCCACAGTAGCCTGACACTGCTCTAAGTAGAAAGAGGCTTCTCAAAAAAGAATTGTTGATGTGGCATTTGGGGCATAGAGTTGACCTGAACATATTCATAGGAAACTCATAGTTTTTAGTTGAGTTTTACCTGTGGAACTACCTCCATACTGGCCTTAAAGGAACTGAAACAATTAAAAATGAAAAATGGCCTCTGGAAATTCCTCCCTAACTTCTGTGAACTGGATGCAAGACAACAATGTTACTCAGCTACAAGTATGGACCATTTCTTATGGGAACTGAAGGATGTCTCAGAGGAAAGGCCCAAGAACAGTGTATTAAAATGGACTGGAAAGCCATTTCCAGGAAAAACTTGCCCTAATCAAAAAACACTATCTGCCCCTGGAGCAAGGGGACCTGACATTTTCTCTGTGGTATTTCAGAATTGTTATGGAACAGTGACTGACACATGCCTCTTACTGCTCTCCTGGCTGAATGGGAGTACCTATTGCAGTTAGTCTCTTTCTCCCCATATATATCTTAAGTGTGTGTATGAGAGAGGCATGTCAAATAACTTGTCATTTAGCTCACAGGATCAAGAAACTGAGAAACTGTATTCAAAGAGCCTCGGCCACATGTGAACCTGGTATAGAAGACTTGGAATCCTGGATTTAAACCTGATACCATGATTTGGGATGGGATATTTAGAGATCCTGGAATGGGAATGATCATGGTTTGCATGGGGTGATAATGTGAATAATTTGTCATCAGAACATACACTGTGTTAGAAAAATGTTACATGTTTCCTATCTCTATGTGTGTGTCCTTTTCAGCTTTTATTTCTCTTTGCATTTCATTTGGAATAACTTACGTTAATCTATCTTCAAGAACACTGATTTCCCAAGATCCTGGCTCTGTCAGGTCTACTGATGAACCTGTTGAAAGCATTTTTTCAGTTATGTTTTATTTTTTATATTTACTATTTCCATTTGACTTTTATATCATTTATATTTCTGCAAAACTTCCCCAATTGTTCATTCACATTGTTCCCATTTTCCACTATTTCCTTAGTTTGGACTACTGTAACAAAGTACTATAGACTGGATGGCTTATAAACAACAGAAAATTATTTTTCACAGTTCTGGAGGCTAGAAGTCTGAGATCAGGTACCAATATGATCAGGTTCTGGTGAGGACCTTTTTCTGGATTGTAGACTACCAGGTTCTCATTGTATCCTTACTTGGCTTCTGATTTTCATATCCTCACTAGAAAGCTCTCTGGGGTCCTTTATATAAGGGCATGAATCCCATTTGTGAGGCCTCCATCCTCATGACCTACCTACCTCTCAATGGCCCCACCTCCTGATACCATCTCATTGGGGATAAGGATTTCAGTATACAAATTTTGTGGGAACACAGACATCCAGTCTATAATACCCTTTAATATATTTAGCCAAATTTATTTTAAGTTCTCTGCCTGATAGTTCCAGTAAGTCAGCCAAGCGAGTTCCGGTCTTTTGACAGTGGGTTCCTTTCTATTGCTGTTTTGCATCTACAAGTTTTAGCTGAAAGTTGGATGTTGTATATAGGGCAATGTAAACTGAAATGAAAAGTATTTATTCCTGGAAATAGACATGGCTGCTCTTCTAATAGATAGGCATTAGCATGGTGGCATTGAGTTGATCCAGTCAGTGGTCAGGTAGGGTTTTGGTTTTGTTGTTGCTATTGTGAATTTTAGTGTAACATAGACTTCAAATTCCTGTAATGTTACCTTGTGTTTGAAGTAGACACTGGTTTTCCAGAGAATTTTTCCCAATGTTCCTGGACTGTACTTGCCTTTAGGCCTTTCCTGGGTTTCTGCATCTCAGTGATAGTCTCTCTATATTCTTGTATCTCTCTCTTAGTAGTTGATTTCTGGTTTTTTGTTTGTTTGTTTGGAACTGGGGATTGAACCCAGGGGCACTTTACCCTTGAGGTATATCCCCAGCCCTTTTAATTGGGGGTGGGGGGCAGAAAGTGTCTCTCTGTTGCCTGGGCTAGCTTTAAACTTATGATCCTCCTGCCTCAGCCTCCCAAATTACTGGAATTACAGGCGTGCATCACTGTGCCCACTTAGACTGCTGCTGTTACTCGGTTCTTGCTAACTTGGTATGGGACACAGAAGTTGTCCTGTGTCCCTGGGTCTTAACATTTTTTTTCCCAGTGATCCTGCCCCTCTTCCACTGGTAAGAGGTATTTTATTGTCTGGCCCAAGATAGTTTCCTCCCATTCCATCATGGGTAGATTTTTTTTTTCTTTTCCTTTCCTCTAGTCACAGTGGATCTTCACCTGTATCCTGAGAGTGACAGGGTTTGCTGCACTGCACTAAATGGCTTAAGGTTTTTGTTTGATAGAATAGGGTCCCTTGGGATTTTGTATCATTTTTGTATCAGCACCCATCCCCCCTAGTGGCATACCCCATGGAAGGATGCCTTCTCTATTTTCCCACTCTACTACTAGTGTTTCTTATGAGCACCCAGTGGAGGTCTGTGGTGAAGAGCCTGCAGGTGGAAGCCAACAGCCCTTAGGTCTACAGCTCTCAGGGGTTCTATATTCTCACTATCCCACTCTCAGCCTTTAACAGTTTATTAGAATTGTCCATTTCTTTGGATAATGGAACATTAGCAAATATGACACAAGAACTCATAAGAAGTGTTTGCACATTGAAGTTTGCCCACTCTTGCTGCTCTTTGGAATCCTAAGCCCATGTGTGAAAA